TTGCGTCGCAACCCAAAATGATATCTGCACCAAGTCTCCTAGCGTCAATTGTCAGCTGTTTTAGGCTACTTGATGGCAATTCTTCGTGATCATGAGCCATATATGCAGATACCGCCCATATCTGGCCCCAAGGTCCCTCAATACTTACTGCGGTTAGGTCTTTGTCACTATACTGCGAAAGCATGAGAGCGTTATATATTTTATTTATTAATATGCAGGATCTAGGCTTACCCTTGTTTACCGCATACATTAAGTCAAAGTTTTTAGTCCTGAGTCCGCATACAAGATCCTTGAAAACCCATGGCTCTTGCACCAGGACCATATCAGCCTCGTTGTTGCTGAGGCATTGCAACAAGCTGGCGGACGCAGCCTTGCAGTGGTGCAGGTTAATTTGTAGTACCCGCATCATGATTTGTTTTGGATGTGGTAGTGTCCACCACTGTTACGTCAAGCGCGCTATCTTCTTCAGATTCATTTTCAGAGTTCAAAAGTTCTTCTTCGTCAAAAAGATAGCGCGTACCAATACTCTCTTCAGATGTAATTGAAGGAGTTGGAGAGGACATAGTCACGTCCATATTTATTGAATCAGAAGTGGTAGGCAGTATTTCTACTGGGCCCACTGAGCTTGCGGTAGCAGTTTCAATATCACCCGCTTCCATTATGGTATCAACAGTGCCTTGCGGTGCTGCTGGACCTGTGTCGTTAGGTAAGGATTGCTCCTCGTCCTTTTTATATACCCTCATTGTGATGGCTGAGAAACCGTAGTTAATAACACCGTTTGATTTCGCCAAAGTGGCCAAGGATGCTTTGTCAATCACAAAACTGACCGACCTATATTTACCCTTGACTTCCTCCAGCTTGGTAATCTTCCACGTTGATGTGTTTAACTGCCGGTTTCCTAGCCGAATAAGTTCCAGAATCCGCTGAGGATCGGACTGATGGGCTGGTATCCAGGAACGCGCTCTTGGTCGACTAGGGATTTGCTCCTTAGTAACAACCTTAAGTTTGGCGCCTGGCCATGCCTCACCAATTCTGAAAATGGCTTTGCGAAAAAGATCAACAGAACGCTGATCCGCGCAGGCGATAAGTTTCACATGGCCCTGATGCCATCCACTATCGCGACAAGTGGGACCGTCTCCAGGAAAGTCCTTCAGGAGATCGACATAAATGTCAAGGAGCTTGAGCTCAATTAAGTCCCACTTAGCAGGTGTAATTGTGCCATCCGGGTCATTTTCATCAATGACTCCCATTATTAAAGAACCCTTCAGCATGTCGCTAAAGGATTTTGCATTTGTGGCGTTGCCACGAAATTTTGCCTTTTTGGCATCAGGTTTTGAAGCTGACTCATCTAATGAGCGCTGTCGCTTCGTAGCAGGTTCCTGCTTGTCCTTCGAGGTATCGAGGACCTGCTTAGCCCAGGCAATCCTGGCCTTCATAGATTCGGATGTAACCGAAATATTGCCGTATCTTTCGAGCAGTCTAGTCGCCGCTCGGCGTTCCTTGTAACTCCTCCTCCCAGGAGGGCCTGACCGAATTAGTGGTCCGGAGCGCGTCGATACATTTTGTTTATGATTTGGAGGCACCTTTTTATTACCACTGGAAGTCGCGGTAGGTACCTTGTTTGGACACTTAGTGTCCGAAGATTTTGAGCTCTGTTTAGCCGAGCTCTCCGCTATAGAATTTTTATTTTTATTAGTTATTGGTTCATTCATATTTAAACCCACGAGTTGCGGAGAAGGGAGGGTCCATCCGGGCAGAGATCCGCAATACCCGGATAAGGCTAAATTACAACCGGAGGGCGCCAGTTATCCGGAGGTCTCCGTTTAAAAACACACTGACGTAGTGCTATTCATCTCATCGGCACGGGTCGAATAACACCGGAGATTACGGGTTTTATCGAGTTTTCCTCTCTAGATCCATGATGTTCTGTTATGCCGACATGATAGCCAACATGAAAAACAGGTTCACCTCGAGAAGGATGTGATAATATATCACGCATCATGGTCTTGATATGGCATAGGCTCAAGGTATTTACATACTGTATTACGCATAACCATATCCCGTTCAAACTAGAACACGAACCCAAATACCATTTTACAATATATCCCACACAATATTTTCTATTGTCAAATAAATAATATTTTGCTGATCTTGACTTATAATGAGATATTTCGAATTATAGTTCTACTAAATAGACGCCAGATCTACCTAAATACTAGGTTAGTAGTTAACAACTACTAACGAATAAAGATTGTACTCAAAATGTTTGTGGAATTAGTGCCACGTCCATATTTTATCCATAAGCTACACGTTTAAAAGCAATTACATATTGTTAAAATTTATAAATAGCACGTCATGGTAAAATATGCCAAATTACAGTGTTTAAATGGGGTCATACATTTTATGACCCTATTCTACAAAAAGATTGTTAAGAATAGCCTATCGCATTTTGAACACAAAAGGCTACAAAAACATTGTTACTAAAACTTAGACTGTTTTATTAAAAATATAGAACTTTTAACAAGAACTACTATTACTACTCTTATTATTCGTAAAGTCGAATAGCATTCTTAACCCACATACGAAAACATTAAATATAGCCTTATATGTGACAAAGGTTCTTACAATAAATATAGCTAGTAATAGATTTGGTATTACATTTTAGTGAATTTTTAAGAAATTATTTTAAAGATCAATTGATTATTTATACCATGCAATTTTGGAATGATTCACCACTACAACTAAACAAGATATTAGATATTAAGATATATATTAAGATTTAATAGTAGTTGAAGTATTTGCATGATTAAAAAATAATTTTACACAATTATTTATGTTAAGATATCGGAATGTGCAGCTAAACGTGGCGAATGTGATGAAAGCAAAGGACGTCCAGTTTGTGGAACGGATGATCAGACCTATCCATCGCGATGCCATTTATTGCGCGTACAATGTAGTGGACATCAGGTCAGCTTAAAATATCGTGGGCCATGTAAAGGTAAATTCCAAAGTATATATGCAGTTAACTGCAAATGCCTATCGCATTTATACTAACTATTAGTTTAAGAACAAATTAAATTATAAGAGTATCTCATAAAAACAATAAACAATAAAATTATTATAAAATTTAATAAAATAAATTTATCGTTCTAATATTATATAGCAATCGAAATAGAATACATATATCTACCTTCTAAATATACTTATCTAGATATGTATATGTATCTAGAAATCATAACAATACCAATATAACTAAATATATAAATTTTTAGCTTGCAGAGAAGCGCGTGAATATGCATTGAAGCATAAGTCTCGAAATCCTACGAAATTTATACCGCGTTGCAAGACGGATGGTACCTATGCACCTGTTCAATGTTTGGGTGACACTGGTTGTTGGTGTAGTGATATCACAGGCAAACCAATTGAAAATACGACTGTACGCACTGGAAGACCTAGATGTCGGGAGTTTAATAAACCTAATATACGAAGGTCGCCTTCACGTCACCCTACTCCCAGTCGAGGGCGACGCAATTGCAACCAAGAAGATCGAGCTGCGTTTAATACAAATCTAATCAGGGTTTTTCAAAGTGAATATCTACGTTCAGGTCAACAACAACGTGATTTAACTTCTGCGTTGAGTGGTGGGGGCGATAAAGCTACGGGCACTGTAATGAGTACAGCAGAAAAATTAGTATTGAGTTGGAAATTTACAAATTTGGATGGAAATTCAAATCAAATTTTGGATAAAATTGAATTTCGAGAATTGAAAAAATTAATCAGACGGGTAACTTAATAACTTAATAAATAATTGCCATTTTAGTTTTAGTCAAATCTAATTTCTTGTTTTGAAGGCAGTAAAACCAAGACGTTGTGGACGTGCCTTCGGTAAATTCTGTGATTTAGATGACGATGGACGTCTTTCACGCAATGAGTGGAACAATTGTATAACAAAGGATGGCATCAATGGTTAGTAGTGTCAATTTTCAGTTATATTATGCAGTTGCTTGAAAGATATATACATTTCTAGGAAAAAACTAATGCATGAAATTAACTTATAATTTTTTGCAGAATCATATATTACAAAATTTCAATTAAATTGTTCGTGTTCACTTTAATTTCATATTAAAACAAAATCATTAATTGCTTATATTTAGCTAATCAAAATCTATATTTAATAAAAGTTTCTCTCATTCTAAAGCTAATCTGAACCGTAGCATGACTTGCCATTATATTTCTTTTAACCTATTCATCTCCTTCACATTTTGCTGATAAATTATTTATAAAAAAAAACAGTGCTATAGTGAAGTTGTAAATAAATAAGTTAAGACGTTAGCTTTGACTTTGCCGAAGCTTAAATACCTTTTACACAAAATTTTATATAAGATAATATATTATAACATATATATAATATAATAATACTAACACTTATAACAGCTACCTTAAATTATTAGTTCAAACGCAAGTTCCCTTAGAGTAAGTTCTATGTTTTGTGAAGTGGTTATTCTATCTATATTGCCCTGTTAGATATCCTATAATGATTCTTAAATTGTTCTTATTTAATTGCAAGCAATCATCTTTAAGTCGACTTAAGTTTAAAGTCCCTATAAGCTATTTTAATTGTAATACCCCTTATGGATTGTATCAGTAAATCCTTCTCTGTTTATTTTCTTCTTTCTAAATAAATGAGTAGTTACTTTGTCCCAAGTCAAAGAATGGTTTCAAACCTACAAGCAGCGATAATACAACTTTTTTGGCAAGTGTGCTTAGCATTTCGTTGCCAGATATTTCAACACGACCCGGAACCTATAAGCATATATACTAAGGTATATATAGTAAGGAAATAATACATTCATTTGAAAATAGGCTTGTTGCACTGACTAACTGAGTAAAAATGTTATAAGCATGAAAAGCATGATGACTTGAAGACTCTAATCGAAGCTTCTACTTTAAGCATGTCTCACCACAGACTTCAAAATTATGGAAACAAACGACCACATGTTACTATACTATATGTCTGTCTACTTATGAAAGAATTAATAAGAAATATTTGATTTTTTTATTGTAAGGCATCATCTTCCAGAGCATGACTAGATATAAAAATATTTTTATCTACATTTATCAGTAATAGTACTACATTCTAATATAAAATATGCATGCATTTTAGTTCATTTTTTCTTTAACTCATGAATCTCATGGTTGTTCATGTTTTCAGTAGAATATTAATTTAGAATTTCATTTAATAATATTTCATAAACATTTCTAGATTATTTATTTATATTGGTTAATTTAATATATGCGCAGGTCATTTCGTTACCACTCACAATACCAGTAAAACCAGCAGCAGCTATAATAACAGCAACAATAACGTTCTTCATACTTCGTATTCAAATTATAACAATAAAATTCATTTAAACAACAACAATAACAACAATGGCCATGGTATAAACACCATCCGTGTCAATGGTCCAAATGGTCATCATGACACCTTGGATAGTAGCGAGGATGATGAAAGTAACCAAAATTTTGATGATTATGATGATGACGTTGATTATGATCCTGATGATGATAATCTAAGCATTCAAAATACATTGAGTTCATCTACAAAATTTCCACCCATCTTAAGTATGTAACTGGTTTGTTACTATTGCCAAAAACCTAATTTGACATAATATACCATCTAACCTTACATTAATATAATTTAATAAAAATTACATTTAAATTGCATGATATCGGATTTCATTTTTTCTCATACCAATACTTATCATCTGGGTATCTGATAAAAACATTTAACTTAAAAATGTATTTTTAGTTCTGCGACCGAAACCCGAGTCTCCTCTTAAGGAACCCGAAAGAGAATCGGATTGCTTAGCTGATCAAGATGCTGCATTGGAAGAACAGAGGGTATGTTGAACATATAATATTTAACTGGAGAATTACAGAACCAATTTGATTCCTTAAAACAGAATGGTGGGACTATACTTTATGTACCTGAGTGCACACCAGATGGCCGTTACCAACGTGTTCAATGCTATCGCTCTACGCCATATTGTTGGTGTGTACACGAAGATACTGGGAAAAATATTCCTGGTACTTCTATAAAACACATGCGTCCTCAATGTGATTTAATATATACAGTGTCGAGACCTATGAAGGGATGCCCAGAGCCCAAAAAAACTATGTTTTTGAAAGATCTTAAAGAATTTCTCAAATCTCAAATCATACATGATACAAAAACAAGGTAAGCATAATTGTCCAGAATTATGTTAAGCTTAAAAATATATAAATTACATTGTAGATTTAGCAGAGCTATTATTTAAAAATATTATTAAAAATATTTATTTCTTACTTATCATTATATACTTTATTAAATCATCCTTCCTTACTAGCACTTTTAATATTTAATATTCATTCAATAGCACAATTGAATGTCATTTACACACAGACATTATTTTATATTTAGATATATGTATGCATCAATATCAAATATCAAATTTGATATTTCATACAAAACTTACTGCACACACCTTCTTGAGTCCAATCGATCTCTGAGTCCGCCCTATTGAAGTGATCAGGTTTCTTCGTCTTGATCCAGGTTGGCTCCAAGTAAAATCACACCAACCCTCAATGCATTTTTACTCTTAAACACGGTTGCCACTTATGGTACTTTAGTACCAAAATTGGCACTTTTTTTTTTTTTTTCGTTTGGTACTCATATTCAAAAAATGGTACATTTTTGACGACCCAACTTTATTGTGGATATTTCCAATTAATTTTTTCTATAAATGCAACTTTGCACTATTTTATATTTTGTTCATTTATAACACTATGAAAAACAAGGAACGAGAAAACAAAAAAAATTTTGGACCTTTTTTTACAGAAATGGTACCTTTTTAAACCAATTTTGGTACAGAAAAAAATTTTCAAGTGGCAACCGTGCTCTTAAACGATCCCCTCTCCTCTCACACTACCATCACCTATCCACATGCTGACCCATGTATACGTATTCGTAATTCTTTTCGAGTTATCTGTTCAATGGATGTTATTATTGTAACCCGTTGGGACCTGCTTATGAAATCCCTCTGGGGAGTGTTGAACGGCATTTGGTCGTCGTTGGCGGCGAGTGGCTCCGAGACGTGAACCCGACCGTTATTGGAACCTGCTCAATAGATCTCAACAGGTTATCACAATAATCACTTATATTCACAATACACATATAACATATATATAGATATTTTTAATTAATAGTTCACATATACAAAAATTATTTTATCGATATATATTTATTGGTTTATTCGAGTTGATACCAAGTGGTTCCTAAACTTTTTTACTGTGACTATTCGTACTGTGGCAGACAAACTTGCAAGAAGAGGCGCGGCATCAAGAATGATAGGCCCAGAACCATTCTGTGGTCTAGGCAAAGGAGCTTTATCCATTATTATGAATGATGCAGAGAAAAAAGAGAGAGAACTCTATTGGGAAATGCTATCAAGACTCTCACAATCTAAAATGCTTTTAGGGACTTACAACCTAAAACGCTTTAAAGATTGCATAGTACAATCAAAAACTAACATAAGAATTATTACGGGATTACTGACCGGTCACTGCAGATTGAATAATCACTTATCGAGAGAAACGGCAGAGAGAAACGTCATACCATGTGCTTGGGGAGTGCCCGGCACTAATGCATAAGCGAAAGAAACACCTAGGAGGGTATTTCATGGAACATAAGGATTTAAGACTGGGGAAGATAGGATCCATACTGTCTTTCATTAAAGAAATCGGACTTGGAGAAATACTCTAACCCGACAAAGGGGCACAATAGATCTTTCAGGTCGCAGTGTACGATCCCTTACTCAATAATAATAATAATAATTCGTACTGTTATAGAAATAATTTGATTCTCTATTTTGTTAAGAAGACCTACGGTTGTCTTCAACACATCTTTGAACAGCATCACTTTGGAAATCTTTACGTATATCTATTATACTGATATAGCATAGATCTTTTAGGGCTTCTTCTAGTATGATATTGTTGCAAGTTTGTAGTTGTTTAACTATTTTCCCATAAGCCATGCAACCATACAGCATAACTAAATATCTTTTTGAATATTATGTTTATTTCCGTTGAAAAATGAATAAAGAATTTTTAGGATTTTAGAATTTTTTGGATCTTCTGGATTCTGTCAGAGTTTGTTTCCTTGTTCACTATTTTATCTAAATATCTAAAATTTACAAAAATCATCTGTCCTGTTAACAGCGAGTGTGTTATATGTCCTTTTTAGATATGGCTAAAATAAAGTTATTCTACAAGTTGCTACCTCTTCATATTTCTGTTTGATAATTACTCGAAACTCCGTTTTGCAAAAAGTCGCGGATCAGTCCTTTAAAGATATGTTAAAATTATTATTATATATATATTTACTTTAATATATACGTTCTCTTACAATAAATTTATATTTTTCTTGTTTTAGCGGAAACCATACAAATTGGAGTTCTGAGGATGAACGCATTGCAACACAAAGCTTTCTGCTTTTGGATAAAAATATGAATAAAGCTTGGGAACGCAAAGAGTGGAAGACGTTTCGGGAGTTAGTCATGAACTCAAAGTAATTTGAAAAATTTTAAATTTAAAATAAAAAACCTTAAAGTTTTACGAAATTTTAGGACTTTACGAAAATGCGGAAAGAAAATGCCTCGGTACTGTGATGCAAATGGCGATAAGAAAATTACACTAACTGAGTGGTTGAACTGCTTACAGACTCAAAGTGTTGAGGTGAAAACACCCCAAAATCAGTTACAGCGAAACGGTATGCTAAGTTACATATAATATACATTATATAAATAAAAGTAATTATACATACTTCATAGGAGAGTCTGGCACTTCGAAACCTTTAAAATTAACTGGATCAAATCCCCTTGAGCAATATCTCAAAGATTGAACACACCGATTTGAATATATAGAGCAATGTGCCATTTTGAACTAACACACATTTTTTGTAATGAAATGGATAGATGAGGAGAGAGAGCAGTAGAGATATCAATCGAATTTAAAATAAAAATAAAACAAATTCATAAATTATTTTTAAATATTGTTAAATTTTTTTAATTAAATACATCGCATAATACTTTACATGCAAATATGTATGGAATCAGTGAAAGTACCTTACATTCCTGAGCATCCTTTAAAATCACTAGAAATATACTTATTAATATACTTATTTTAAACACACAAACTTAGTTTAAGAAATGTTGATATAGCGCCTTAATATTAAATATTATTTAACAGCTTTTAGTTTGTATATAGAAAAACATTATAAATACCTAAAAATATAAAAATTTAAGCGCATGTTAACGAATTTGTACATTAATACATTAAATATAGTTAATACATAAGGAACTATGCAGTCTATTAAAATGGCTATATGAAATGAAATTTGTAAACAATCTTATTTATTTATCCGTTTTCATTTATTAGAGCACTGCTTTGGTTTTGAAATCTAGACGACTTAAAGCACTATTCCCTAGCAATCGTTTTGCAAACACTGTCAAGAGTAGCAAAGCCAGAGTGGTCACTTCCATTATCACGAAATGTGAAATAGATGTGCCAATTTCCAGCCATGATCCTTCATTCTTTACTAAAAATAAAAAATTAAGTCCCATAATATCACAAATAAGTAGTAAGCAGATAAAAATCTGCTTCTGGTAGAAATGTGCGACGGGTGATAATCCCATAATAATTGAAATTACTATAATCACAGGAATTAAAAGTTTTAAAATAACAAGCATTGTTATGACAAAGGGTGAGAAGGTTGTTAAGAAACACCTAATTATAATTGGATCAAATGAACTAACCGAAGCAATATTTCCTGTGCCAAAGAATGAGTAAAACGTGTACAATATAATGGCAAACGCCAAACGCACTACAGATTTTAATTTATATACTGAATCAAGTGCAATCACTTCACTGGAGATCTCTATATCATATGGAAAGAGTGAAAGTATTAGTTCAGAACCCAATACAACAACGAAGAATAACTCATACGTTGTACAGAATAACGCATATAATGTAGTCAGTTGAAAAAATATCAGTTCAACTCGATGTTTCAGCATTTGCTTAGGAGCCAAGAAAATTGAAGTAAACGTATAAAGCAGATAGCTCCATGAAACTATTTGGGATGGTAATGATATACCTATATGGTTTGAATTCTGATACACACAGAGTAATGTATTTGCAATTGCAATGACTGCATACACCACACTATGCTTGTTCAAATGTGATTTAATCACAAAAGGACGAAGAAATGTTATAGTCAATCCCGCAGCTAAAAGAGGAAAATTATTATTGCCAACCGTAGGTGCTATTAATGGTGTCATTACAATTATTAAAACCATTATTATTCGATACAAAAATTTATTATCTTTAATATTTTCTCTCCGCATGCTAAAGCATGTAAAAACCAAAAATAGTAAAGCAATTGCTTGAGGACGGAAAAATGTAACAACTAATAGTTCTGTGCAAATGATAATCGGCAATATGTCTAATTTTCTTAAGGGAATTTTTTTACTACTGTAACCACTTCCTTTTTCAATATACGTTAAACCCCACACATTCACTGGTACCACATGATACAATGCAATAACGAATGGTACTCGCTGCAAAATGAAAAACAACAACAAAAGCTTGTTTAAAATGAGAAGCTGAAAAATAGACTTCTTGCAAAACTTGTCTAAAGTTATTCTTTCATTTATATGCCAACTCGGTGTGCGAATAATTTGCAACAGATAAAAGATCCAACCAAGGAAAGTTGCTGTTGTACTCAGCAGTAGTGAATTTTGATAGTAATTAAAGTAATAGTTTACACCTTCAATGGACTTTTTCATTATCACTTGACTAGCATTAATAGCTTCTTGGAAATTTTGTTCTTCAAAGTGCATTTCGATGCTACTTACATACGCAGCAATACCGACTAAATCTAAATCTTTATATGAATTCAGATATCTTGAAAATAATCCACGTTGATGTTCTAATAATAACTTCTTAAATTGTTCTATTAGCTGCAAAGCATTTGCATGTGTAGCATGTGCCTCATATTCAGCTGAAACATTTAAAAATCCTTGTGGCAAAGTACCAAAATTGTTAGTCGGTGGTGGCAAACCCAGCAAACTGGACATTATTGGAGTAAGTTGAGCTTGCTCTAATTCATGCAAAGGTAATGACTGATTTAGGCCTGCTTGAAACGATTTGGTTGACGATTTTCCTTTTCTGTCGATTCCTGCACCCCAAACAAAAAATGGTGTATCTGTTTCATAAGGGTCACCTGCACCATGAGAACCTTTAAAAAAATTCTTTTACGTATAGCAAAAAATTAGTTTTAACATTTACATACCTGAATTTGTCATACCATGATCAGATGTAAGTAAATAAGTAGTTTTACCATCTGTAAAAACTGTTTCAAACTCTTTATAAATATTCCAAATACCACGTTCAGTATGTTGTAAATTTTCTAAAAATAACTTAGAACCAGGTTTATGAACATGGCCAGCGGTATCAAGTCCCAGTAAATGCAAAAAGAATATTACTTGCTTTTCTTGTTGCAGTTCTTCCCCTTTGTTTCGCAAAAACGCATGCACCCGTTTGAAAACCCATTCATCTAACTCATACGTTTTTTCACGACCAGAAAAATCCAAGTTATGATCATACGCTTCAAATAGCAAATTTTGACCCGTTCCGTTTAAACGTGAAAATATGTGTAGTACATCGTTTGCGCCCCAAGCAAACGTTTTCCTGCTTCGATGAAATACTGTATCAAAATCAATTGGATTTTCTTTCCAACCTTTAGTGACAGCCGATGGATCTTCATACAACCCCGCAATTAGTGCAATGTGACCTGGTCTAGATTCCGTTGGTACACGAGTGTGAGAGATGCCTACCTGTCCATTATGTTGCAACATCAATTCTAAAATATGCGGTATATCACTACAATTGTTTCTGTTAAAAAAAAAAGAAATTTAAGCAAAAATAATTGTTATTTTTGTACTGTCAATACCTAAAAAAGGATTCGGCTCGCAGTCCATCAGTCACAATTAACACTAATCTATTCGACGGTGGATCTAATTTTAGAGCACTTTGTGGCTCAAGATTTGTTATGATAGGTGATCGAAAATAAATAACAAAAATTGAACCTAGTAAGAGAACGTGTACCCATATTGCATGAAAAATCCACATTTCCTCTGTTGCAGATAAAGAAAAATTGATGTTTTGTTTAGTCCGCTAAACTGTCAGCTGCTCTTCAATAATAATATTAGAAACCAGTGTTGTAAAATGTAATCGTGGATTTTAAATTGTCGTTTAATATTTTTTTAACGAAGATGAAGATAATTTGATCTATATAAATATTTTGCATTAAAATAACGAAATACATACAATAGCTTAATGCCAGGGACTATAATAGTTATGGCTTTATGGAAAACGTTAACTGAAAAATTTTATTATTCATCATTTATTATAAAATTAAAATATAAGGCAAAATGTATAGATTCCTTTTGTGTGATAAAGTAATCGGTTGTTAATGACTCATTGTTGAAATCAAAGAACCAAATCTTCTTTAGTTGAAATATATAAAAACCAAAATTAACTATTATTTCTATTAATTAGCATTTATTAAATAAAGCTTTCGTATTTATCTTTCGTATTTATGCATTTTCGTATATATCTCGATAAATGTATAAAATTTTGTTCCATTTTCTATGCAAAATCCATACAGAATAGCGTGACAACCGAACAAATAATTTTTAACTGTCTTTAATCGGAGAGCGTATTATCGAGTTAATGAAATAGTGTAATATGACTCATGACTACAAGCTTTGATAAAAACAATAATAATAAACAACAACAGTATAGAAAGATTTTAAAAACTAAT